TTAATCAAGAATATGATCCTGAATTTGTGTCCTTCAACCCACCTCTCACACACGGTTAACCTGCCTCTTGCCCGACGATCACTAATCTGTGCCAACCAGCCCGGGGCCCACCTTCCACTATGATCTACTTCCACTCGAAGCCCCACTCTGATCCGCGTGCTTATGATCCAGATTTTCCTGTCTCAGCTTCTCACACTCAATTTTTTTGATTTTATCTTCTAGGTTCACATACTTGTGAGTGTTTGCCCATGCTTGTCCATGTCGGATCCCACATGTACTCTCACAGCACGCTCACACGGCTCCATTCCAGTACTACGGCCTGTGATCCCTCGTGTGCTCCATGCACTCTAGATCGTGGCACCATACCTCCCGTGCTCCAGCATGACTTTCCCATGTGAACCCACTCAGGCGATTCGTGTGCATCTTTGGTTGTCCGAGCCTCCACCCACATCTTGCTTCTTCTCACTCATCGGCCTTGTTTGAATCCTCCACACACGCATATGTGGCTGACTTCGATCCTTCTGATCTGATTCACGCAACAAGTCGTGCATGTTTTTAGCCTCCATCCGTGCAACCCAGGCCCTGCACCTACACAAGACTGCGCTCCACACAACCAACTCGCCTTGCCTGCATGTTGATTGTGATTTCGGTCGTTGTCTGCTCTCCTTTTACAATATCATCTTCCTCCTTCCTCGAGACCAACTCATGGAGGATCTGATACCAATTGTTATGCAATTCTTGGAGGAAGAAGAGAGGTTTCTTGAATGTAGAGGAAGAGAGGGATAGAGAGAGTGGGAAGGAAGAGAGGTAGAAAAGAGCACATGCATTTCTTTTATCTTTTCTAATTTGCTTGTGATACAAAGGATTGGATTACAACCCACATCAACCTATGCACTATTTGTAGACTAGAGATTGATGTGGTGTCTTGCGGAGCAACACTAATTCTAAAACTGAACCAAAATACAATAATTTTAATTCACACTAACATGATAACGAACAATTACTTCTATTTTTTAATTAATTATTGTGTCCAAATATCACAACATAAGAGACTGATTTGAAGCTCGAGAGAACATGTAGAGTAGCAATCAGTTGATTAATCTAGACATAATAATAAATTGAGTTTGAGTGACTCAGCTTAAACTCTTAATCGAAGATTTAAATTTATGTTCTAGCTAAGTTCGAGTTGAATCAACATTATTCAATTTTGAATTGAGTTGAATTAAATTTATTAATTTTATAAATATATTTAATCACTATTATTGATATAAAATATTTAAAATATATTAAATTAAAATTGTAAAAATGTATTACAATGAGTATATTATACCACAAATTAATTTTGAAATGAACCGATTTTTTTATTAAAAAAAGTGCTATCTTCTAGCAAGAAAATATCGATTTTAATTTAAAGTTCGGTAAATTTTAATTAATTATCAAATAAATTATGAGTCATGAATATAAGCATTAGAGGGGTGGTGGTGGGCCTTATGCTCATGAGTGCGTTTCGAGCAGTCATAACTCTGTCCGCAGATGGTGATGGTGCAAGCGGTCATCTTATGTGCTTTCAATTCGAGTTAACCATCAAATTCGCAATAAATAAATAAATATAACAATACATTTAGTATTATATCCTTTCTGACCTTGTATTAACCGGTTCTCTTCGCGGTTTGTCGCTCTGTTAGGGTTTTTCTCGTTTGCTAACCCTACCCGACTCCCGTGTCTTGAGGAGGACTCCGCCTTCGGGATGTCTCATACATACACTACATATGCAAGACTCGAATTCAAAATTCAAAATCTCTTGGCTGATAGCTAGCTCCCAACCAGCAAACCTGAGTCGCATTTTTAACAATTTTTTAAATTATGACATATGAGATTAGTAATGAAATTCTAGGAAAAAATATTTATTTTTATTGTGTTAGAGATTTCATATCGATAGAGAATAACAACATATAAATATATAAAAGAGAAGAATGTAGGAAAATTTTGAATTTGTATGCAGAAAATTTTTAAAGAAAAAAAAAAAAAACACAAGTTATAGATCAATTGAAATAATCTATAATATTTTGAAGATATAGAAGTTTCTCTTATTTATAATTGGACAAGATTAAAAATTTAGAAGCACTAATTATTTGGTCTTATTTTACTTGCGGTAGAGATTATGGCAGAGATAGTAAATGAATTATGATAGCAAACATACAATGTTTGTTAGATAATGAAGATCAGATGATGGCGTTTAAATGATGATTGGACAATAGTGATAAGACAATGATGGTCGAATGATAGAGAATTGATTATAATGATCGATTAACCATGACAATCGGCGGCCAAGAGCAGTCACGCGTGGACTCGCGGTTACGAGGGCAGGCTACGCGCGGTCACACGGGCAGGCAACCGCGACACGACTCCGTCTCGGGCAGGCTACGCGCGGTCAAGTGGGGCAGTTTCCGGGTCATTTCAAGGTTTCTTGGTCAACCCGAACCCGACCCGGTTTTGCAAACGAGTCGATTATCCGGACCCTAACCCAACCCGCTTCGGGTTATGGTCAAACCAAACCCGAAATTTTTGGGTCAGGTTCGGGTCGGATCCAATATTGACACCCCTTATATATATATATATATATTTGAAAGAGTCGTTTATTTATATTTGTAAACTCTATCTAACTCTAACATTTTTCAATCTCTTTTTTATTACTTAATTAATGTGTTACATCAACTAAATGATTTGTTCAAAGAGCATCTATAACATACCTCAGACTTTGTATGAAATATGACTAAGTTTATTACGAGATTATATTTAATTTATTTTATTGAATAAATTATATCATAATATTTTGGTATAAATTTAATACGCCACCTAAAATCATATTGTTTGTGCATGAATCTAGAGGTATATTCAAATTGAAAATTTTCAAAATTAATTTTGGGACTGTATGAAACCCGATTTTAACAAACATATTGTCAAATTGAACATCTCGAAGAGGCAAACTCAATAACACTAAAATCGGTCCAATTCGAGCCCAAATGGGTCCAAATTGGGAGCTCGAAGCTTATTTGAAATGTTCGAAGGATGACCAAATGATATCCAAATATGATATGCTTAAAATCGAATCAAGCGGCCCAACGAGACGAATCTAACGAGCCTAAGATTGTTGAATTTCGACATCATTAAGGCACTTAAGCATTTGAAAAATGCTATGTCATCAAACTTTTGCTTGACAACCGACCGCCATCAAACTTCCACATGACCATTGTCGGACCACCGCCTGGCCGCTAACCACCGTCAGACTTCCACCCGACCACTCATAGCCGCAGCACTTTTACCCGACCATCGTTAGACCACTGCTTGGCAGCCGAAAGTCATCATACTTTCGTTCAACCATCATTGGACCGTCATCCGGTTGTTGACAACTTTTGGACTACCACCTGACCATCGACCATCGTCGAACTTCCACTTGACCATCGTCGGACCACCACCCGTCATCGCTGGATCTCTGCCCGCGGCTAACCATTATTGGTCCTCCAATGGGCTGACAAGTATGGTCCCTACGATCACTACCGTAATTGCCTACTAGAGTCCCTCAGACCATCGTCACCCACCGACTAAGGTCCCTCCGACCTCCATCGCCAACTCATTACAGTCCCTCCTACCTCCGTCGCCGGCATACTATAATCCTTCAGACCATCGTTGACCGCCGACTACAGTATCTCCGTCCACCATCACCTGCCTACTATAGTCTCTCCAACCACATTCGCTTGCCTACTATGGCCCCTCTAACCACCTTATCTTTCGACTATAGTCCCTCTGATCTCTATTGCCCAAATACACCCCTATCAACCAAATGAATAGGCCCATGGCTCCCTTATCATTGGGTTCTTCTTACCCAACTATATAATGTGCTCTATATGATACATTTAAGTCCATGCCTTCCTCCCGTGGAAGGGAACCATTTGTAATCTACTACAAATACTAGTGAAATCATTTTAACTGAGTCAAGCCCTATGTTTTTTCCCCTTTTTAGTGGTTTCCAGTAAAAATCTTAGTCACTTATGACTATCGCACTCATATCTTTATTTATTTATGTGCTCGATCTTCGTACAAAACTACGAAGCTGAACACCATATCTCTCTACCGCCACAAATTTTTTGGTCCGCAACAAAGTTAAATCAGCATTAATATATTATTATTATTATTATTGAATCAAAATATTATAACAATCATTATAAAATTTATGAGATTAGAGGCATAATATTTTTTCTAATCACGAATTCTTTCACTCTTTATTTTTAAATTAAAAAAAAAAAAAACTATGGAGGAATCAGATCAGGACCACACCGCCAAGCTTACTTTCACTGTGTGTTCTTATCATTCAAAAGAAGACAAAGACAAAAATGCGCATTCTGGAGAGAAAAAGCTGACCCAGATTCCCATATGCTTCGTCACTCTTCTGACAAAATGATGTAAAGCCACTAGCAATCAATGGAGCCGGCAACAAAGTTTGATTGTTCATTCGACATTTGCCTCGTTAAATAGTTTGAATCTAATTAATTTTCATCAGCTCATTTATTTAATTAACAATTTGACACTAAAAATTAATAAATTTAATTATATATTTTATTTATTTATTTATTTTTACCACTATTATTCAACTATATCGAAAAACAATATTTGAGTTCACATAGGATGTAATCGAGTAGAGCTGAGTTCGAGCCATGATTTGATCTTAAGCTTAATTATTTAATCGTGTCCGAATTTTATTCAACAAGTTTGAGCCTACTCAAAAGTTGGCTGATACTCATCGAGTCTTAGGGTGGTTGGTAGGCCAGCACAGTTGGAACCCTCAATAATACTTTGCACTTATTTAAACTTGCACCTGAAATCGAAGAGACCTGTTCAGACCGAGCGCGCGAGGCGCGAGCAGAGAGATACGCCCGTGAAGAACCACACGGTGGGGCTCGCTTTGGTGCACGGGCCCCAGCCTACCCAATAACCCGCCAGCGGGTTCGATCCCTCAAGAGCCGCCGTCTCAAACTTCGTCTGCAACTCTAGAGAGAGAGAAGGGAGGAAAATAGAGCGATAGAAGTTTGGTATTTCTTGCCTGTGGCTGCAAGCTTGGAGAGAAGCCCCAAGTAGCGCAAGGGAGATGCAGAACCCTTCCCCTCCTCCTCCTTGCTCTTGAGGTACCCTTTACTCTTCCCTCCAGATCGCTTCTGTTCGACGCCTTTTGCATAGATTTTTTTTTTTGGCTGCATTAATGGCTCGCGATTTTTGCCTGAAGATCGAGTAGGTTTGAACTTGATATCTTGGCTTTGTATAATAATGAGTTCTAGAGTAAAATAGGGAGTTAAAGTGGGATAAGTGTCTGTTTTCTTCTTGTATCAGTTGCTTTATGGATGGGCTCCGAAAGAGGGCTTTGTATACCTTTCTTTTCTATTGTAAATAGGAGGCCAAGATGGGGCTTCTTCTCGTTTCAGCATTATAATCCTTTTGTAAATCGTCAAGATTTTTAACTATGTAGTTTTTTTCAGGAAGCTTAGAATAATTGCAGGTTTCATTCCCGATTTACTTTATCTGAAATTGCCTCCTGATCTTGTTGCTAATTATTCTGAATCGACACTGTAATTTTTTTTTCCCTTAAGATTCAAATGTCTATGTAGTTATATTTGTCTCTACATTTTTGTAGGAGATAAATCTTGCCAAATGATTTATGAAAAATTATAATGGAGGCTTCTCAATAAGATTCGGCAATGAAGCAGTATTTACATATGTAACTAGTTTGAAGAGCTCAATCAGACCTTTGCACCCATCATGCATTCAAGCTTGTACCCTGAACCGTCTGAAGATGGAGAAACCACTAAGTTAAATTGTGAGACGACGGTAAAAAATGCTTCAGTTCAGGCACAGCTGCCCTCTAAATTTTTTAATGAGAGATTAGCAACGCCCAGGGTTAGATGTGCAGTTGATGTTGATGAAGCCAGGCCCTTGAGATGTAGGAGGTCATCACGGAGGCCTCGTTCAGATCGTTATACAACGGAAACTGAGGTTTTGGCTTCGGCATCATCATCAGGAAACCGTCCGAAACCATGGCCAAGTAGAAAAGGAGCTGAGGTAGAAGAGCTGGTTAAATACATGTCAAGCGTCCCATGTTATCTCCAGCGCATAGAGAAGGGAGAAAATGTCCAGGAAAAAGCACTAAATTTTGGTGTTATTGATTGGAGGCGACTTGAGAAATGGACAAGTAGCCAGAAGAAAGATCAGAAAATTTTGGTTTCTTCTGCTATAAACTTGGCGGAGTCTTCATCTCTTTTTACAAATCAAACATGCTCGTATTCTGGTTGTAGCAATAGCAACTCTCCTATTCAAAGGCAGCAAACCTCTTGTAGAAGTAGTAGCAACTCGCCTGCTGAAAGGAAACGAACGCTTTCTTTGGATGGTAACTGGGACCGGTCTCCTAAGTCAAGAACTTCAACAGAAAGCAGATCACTTTGGTGCAGTCATGAAAAATTTCCCGAATCCAAGCATGAATACGGAACGTCAATGCAGATTGCAGCAGGTAGCTCGATAGAGAAAGAGAAGCCTAAAAGCTGCGATCAGCAAAGTTCTAATCATGATGGGCGCTTCCGTGATAAACGGTTTAGTTGTGAAAAAAGTAAAACTTTGGTTGGAATGCGTGGTGATAGAAAGGCAATGGAAGTTTGCAACAGCTTATCTGGAAAACTACCTCAAAAATATTCCCACCAAAGCAGTGTGTCGCGTGAGCTTCTACAATCCGGTCTTCTCTCTTCTATGTTCCAGAGTGACCAGTCTGATTTGGGTTCTACTGCTCTTCCGACAAAGAATGGAGTCACTTCCACTAAATTTATGACCATAAATGAGGAAGTTAAACAGATCGGCAAATCTTCTGGGAATTATATGTTTAACACAGATGATCAATCAAGTAATCAGAAAGTGGAAGGCATCAGTGGAGGAAGAAAAGAGCCTTTGCCTAAGCTTTCCTCTGCTTCTGGTCTGAAATGGCTGAATCGAAGCTCGAGTTTGAAAGACGTCTCATCAAGCCATCAGCTGAAAGATACCAATGGTTTAGATATTTCTGATGACAAAGGGAGAAGCAACAGCAGAGGAAGACGAAGCCCATTGAGGAGAATACTAGATCCACTGCTTAAATTCAAATATGATGGTAATTCTGGGCCAATTGCAAGCTCACCAATCCAATTTTCCCAAGAACATCGTCTTAACAATAGTGTTTCATCTGGAAAAGAATCAACCTCACTGTATGCGATGCAGAAATCATCTGATGCTAGCATTGTTTATTCCAATACCCAGATGCCTATTACTTCCCATAGTTTACTTCAGGATGAGAAGTATAGCGTAACAATGAGGCAAGCTCTTGTGAAGCTTGCTTGGAAGAAAGGACAGCCATTATTTATGTTCTCAGCCAATGACGACAGTGTACTTGTAGCCTCCATGAGAAGAACAAACAGATTGGGCAAGGAGGATTCTGGTGGTATTTATACAATAGTTACGGCTGAAGAACATAAGAAGAAAGGTGGGATCTGGATTGGCCTGGGCAGGAGTGGAAAACCGAATTTACTTTATGATGTAGTAGGACGTATGGAAGTTTCATGTTCCATGCTGTCTAGTTCTGATTCTAAGAACCTTGAGTTCTCCAGACAATTTGTTTTGGTTAGTGACGAACTCTTACCAAACCAAGGATGCATCGATTCGGAGCAAAGTAGCCAACTTGCTGCCATAGTTGTTAAAGCTCAATGTAAAAATTTGAACGGCTCTATTTATAAAGTCTTAAGCAGGGACCCAGAGTTTGAGAACCTAGCGCTGGAAAAACTCTCTTCCCTCTATATAGAGAGTTTGCAAGTAGAGAAATATCCTGAATATTCAAGAGCTTGTAGTATCTCAGCCATTCTCCCTATTGGGATCCATGGTTTCTCGGATTTAGGAAAGCCATCAACTCTAATTGAAAGATGGAAATCAGGAGGTTCTTGTGATTGTGGAGGATGGGATGAGGGTTGTAGGCTCACAGTTCTTGCTGACAGTCTTCATGAGATGAAGGTTGCTAGTTCAGTCGAAGTATGTCCAACAACTGATGGCTTTCGCGACATTGAATTATTCATCCAGGTATCCATTCAGAGTGGTCTGTTCATTGGTATATTGTCAATTACACTATTTCGAAACATCAATATTTTAATTGCTTTAATTTGCTCATTTTCAGGGAGGGAAAGCAGATAACAAATATGCTTTTCGCATGATAGCTTTCAAAGAGGGTCTTTACACCGTGGAGTTTGGTTCATCAATTACTTCATTGCAGGCTTTTGCAATTTGCATTGCTACTCTACACTGCAAAAATTCTATTGATGAGGATCCCCTATATGAGAACTATCCAAAGATGAATTCCATGCAAAACAATGGAGGCCCAACCAGCTATGAACCACACCATCCACCTTTTTCTCCTGTTGGTAGATCTTAGCTGCCTCGGATTGCCTTCTACCATGGCTTGTGATCCATCCTATCCATGCTGAATTTCCTGTTTGATGGACATAAAACTCTTTATCAATAACTAGCTGGTCTTGGAATGAAAAGGATTTGCACAGGATAAGGTAATACCGAGTGACCCCTTCTTGTTTGTATCAATATTGCAAGCAGTAGTGGAGTTTTAAATTCATTAGTAATAATGATGTATAAACATCTTAAGTGCAAGTGTACATTTAAGCAATCTGTTTATTATTTTCTGAAGAATAGCTACACGACAGAATTTGCTTCTCTTTTGTAACTGGCGACACTAGATAAATATATAAAAATGGCACACTAGCATATTTAGCTAGTCGCTTATTATTTTCTCCCACCATTTAGCCTACAAATTATCTTCTTGAATGTACTACTCCCTCTCTCTTGGCTCTACTAGGGCTTCCTTCCTTAATTGGCAGAGTGGCTGTTTTCTTCTCCTTTCCCTCTTCCCCTTCTCTTCTTGCTATTTTTACCCCTAGTTGGCATTGGTATATTGGGATACTAAAATTGAGATGTTATTATGGATCTGACATCCCCCTCCCCTCTTTCTAGGTATCAACCTTTGTCCTCTCATCTTTAGGCCTATGATCTTCATTTCCTTTCTTAGGGGCAATTGGGTGCTTTCCTATGTTGTTCATTACTTAATGTCTTCAAGTTGTTTGGAGTGTGGATCGTGCTTTGTTGGAGTTTTGTTTGATGCAAGGTTTTCCAAGTGTTTCATAACGGTGTTTGCAGATAATATCTGCCCATTCTCATCCTCCTTTTCAAAAGTTTAGATTTGATGTTCTTTTTAAGAGGTTGTTGGGAAGTATAACCACATAGTGAAACAAACAAGAAAAAATAAAAGTGCAAGAAAGAAGAAAGAATATCAGGATTTAACATGAAAAAATATGAAATTAGGAAAAAAACTTGGAGCCACATCACACAAAGAAATCCACTATGAAAATTTTGAGAAATTTTACGGATCTCTCTTTCATGCTGTCTTTATCTCTCTTTGCTTCACACACTAATTTTCTCAAAAAAGATAAGAGGCTGACTTAAAAATATCTGAAGGCTGCAACGCTTCAAATGAAATGAAAAGGGAGGAAAGAAAAATTGCTCAACTAGACTAGCAGCGCCACAACACATGGGGTTGAAGAGCCACAATGTACTACTCTTTGTCTCTAGCCTGAGCCTAAAGCGTTGCAACATTCTAGTATATAGCGTTGCGGTGCTCTACTTCTCTACAAACAAGATTTTTTTTTCTTTCTGAGCTTAACCTCGAGCAAGGGGAACACCGCCCCTGCGACTCCAAACGAGTTCCTCGTCGGGCTTGAGTTAATAGTACAAACTGATCGATCAACATAATCAGGTTCCACACACAACTAATGGAGGTTTGATTTTGCACAAACATTGACATCCATCATTGACAAATATTCACCATCCCTTTTAGGGCTGATGCTTGCAATCACCACCAAAGTTAAAGTCCATGGTTGCCACCAAACATTGTATCCATCAGCACCAATAAGGCTATTATCTATCGTAGGGGTGCCAATTTCGGATCATGGGTCCGATTCGGGTCGAACTCGGAACTGACTCGGGTTCAAACGGGTCGACCCTAACCCGGCCCGGGTAGGTAAACGGGTCGAAATTCGAACACTGACCCGAAACGGGAACGCGCGGACGTGGGAGCTGACACGGGTGAAGCGGACGCGAGTGGCGGGGCAGGTGCGCGGGGCAGGCGCGCGGGCAGCCGCACTGGCAAGCAGGCAATGGCACGGGCAAGGGGCGAGCAGGAGGCAGGCAGGTCCTCGGGCAGCCGAGCAGTCATCTCAAACGGGTTTCTTAGTTGACCCGGCAACCCGTCGGGTCAACTCGAACCCGACCCATTTTTCAAACGGGTCGAATTCGGGAACTTGAACCCGACCCATTTTTGAAACGGGTCGGGTCTAACCCGAAGAATCCGGGTCGTATTCGGGTCGAGTTTTCGTGCCGTGTCAAATATTGACACCCCTAATCTATTGTTGACAATGAGACTAACACCCACAATTGGCTCTAATGCAATTGTCATTCATTACTAGTAGTACTAATGCATTCTATTGCCAACAATACCTATGCTGGCAATCATCACCAAGGCGATAACCCATTATCAACACTAAGTATAATGGTCACCATCACTAATAATGCTGACTCCTGCTATCGCCACTCGGGTGTTGTCTACTGCCACCATTAGCATTGGCGCCCGCATCATCAGCAAGGCTAACTTCATCACAACGAGCACTAACACAAGCCATTAAGGTTGATTATTGATAAAGAGAATGATGAAACCACAAAAAATATGTGAATTGTATTGATAATGATATTTAAGCTATAGTTCTTGGTATACATATGATAATTAACTATAATATTCTGTTTTAAACAACACAAATAAAAGTGGAGAGTATACTATATAACAGTAAAAGGAATAAAGTTGATATTAAGGTCATGGATAAGCTTAAGTGGTATGATGTCCTCTAGAATACAATGATCCACATCAATTGGTCTCCTCTTCTATGTGAAGAATGACTAATTCATTCATATAGGATAATTAGTAATTATACCACTAATAATCTCTTGACAACTCTGATGCTTTAAGCCATCTATTGCTATCATTGAATCATCTTTGATATTTCATATCTATTATATAATATTAATGCCTTCACCATTTGCAAGGGAGAGAATCTTCTGTAACATACAACTGCTACTAATTTCATCATTTCAATTAGATTAGGCTCCATTGTTTCCTCTTTTTTAGTTTTTCCATGCAAAAAAAATCTTAAGTATCTTATGAGTAGACTTTTAAACCAATTGAGCTGCATTTGATGAAGTTTGGGATGGTGCAGAAATGTAACGAAAAATTTAGATATGCATTCTCTTCTAAACAAACAATTCAAGCTAAAGAATCATATATGATATTCTTTTAGGTTTCGTTTGGGACGGCTTTCTTATTGTTTCTTAAAGCAACTTTTCAGTATAATTTTTTTTAATTTTTAAACTAGAAAATTGTTTTAAAAAGTAATAAAAAAAGCCGTCTCAAACAAAGCCTTAGTTTACAAGCTGTAAGTTAAGATGGTGTTCCATTGTTCTTCGATTCCAGATCTAGATCAAAAGCCTGCTTATAATTTCAATAAATCTGTGTTGCTAGTATTAACGTACATAGAAAAATTATTATACTTTCATTTTTTTTTTTTGGGACATTTAGGTTAATTAAGGCAAATTCAGATACACATCACATACAGAAGATTCAAAACATAAGACCTCTTATTTGATAATCTAAGCTCTCAAAAAATAGGTCAAGATTAGCTGTGTCTCTCATTCCATTTCATTAAAATAAGCAGAGAATCCGCCTACTGAGCCTATGAAGCATAGAAATAGCCCGCTAAGCCTAAAGTTTCTTTGTATTTAACAACGAAAAATAGCAACATATAGCTCACTGGATGAGCCTTGGCTTCTATGCATCTATACATAGCTTGTGTTGTTATCATTGGATTCCTCATCAAATGCTTTCAAAGATTCTGCTATGGAAGGACATTTAATCTTATAGATTTAAGGAATCATGCAAAGTATTCTCCTTTGATAAAGCTCTTTTAATGTGCTATGCTTCTTCATGGAGTGGGGACTTTGTGGGTTTTTGACAAGACTTTGCTTTGTAATGGAAGCACTTTCTTCTTTTATTTTTTTTAATTTTGTGTACTAATATCGGAAGCAAAGTTCTTTTCTTGGGAAGCTCAACGTGCATTTGTCTCTAGCTCCTAGCTTTCTTGCTTCATGGAGAGCAATTATTAGGTCCTTTCACTGGATGTAGAGGAAGGTTCAGTTTTAGGCAAAAATAGGTCAAAAAGTGCAAATACCGAGTTTTTTGAAAAACTCGGTATTTTTTCAAAAAACTCGGTATTTGCACTTTTTTAGGCAAAACCGAATCTTCCTCTAGGTCCTTGCACCGGACCAAATAAAAGTTCCTTCATGGGGGCTCAAAAAACACAGTTACTATTTCTAGATAACTAAGCTTTATCATGAAAAATATATAATTAACAAAAGTGATTAGATGGTAGGAAGTGATTATATATTACATGTGCTATTGGTATAGATGAAAATTTAGAATGGAATTTTTTGTGTTGCTCATGTTTTATACAATGATCAATTGGCCAATTTTCTATTTGCCTCAATATATTTTCTACTTAAAAATATTAGATAGTTTAGGGTAATGATTTGTGAAATTAATCTTATTTATTCAATTTAAGTAAGGCTATGTGTTTATAACTAAAATAATGTAGTACTTTTTGTGGGCTAGCGTGGCAATAGATTGAATTTTTGCACCTTAGTTTTGTACGAATGTTCATTCTTTTTTATTATCTGTGTGTTGGATATTCGTGAAAAGCTGACACGCAAAAGTTCAATCTCCATCTCATTTTAGCACATAACAGTACTTAAGAAATGAAAACTTTAACTAAGAGAGAGAGAGAGAGGCTATAATATATATTAAATGATGTGTTAAATTTAGTGGACTCGTTCTTGTGCCCCAATAATATGGGAAATTATTTTGTGTGGTCACCAGACGTTGTCTGAAGGCGAATTAGGACGTGCCACACATTCTGATTCGCCTCCAGACAGTCCGTGATCATACAGAATAATTTTTTAAATGGAAATAATGAAACTTGAACGGGGCACTCTAATCAGGACGCTGTCCCCGTCACCATGGGTGTAAGTAATCCGAGCCGGCTTGCAAGACAGCTCGAGCTCGACTTCTTAATGAGCTCGTGAGTCGATTTTATCGAGTCAAGAGTTTTAGCTCGAGCCAATACTCGAGCTTGAGCTCAAGCCTGGCTCGACGAGAAAGCGCATGGAGCCACTCGATCAAATTAAAATATATTTAATAATTAATTTAAATTAGTATTATATAGCATATTTTAATAGTTTTAAATTAATTATATACTAAAAATAAAACATCTATTCGAGCTCAACAATCGAGTCGATCTCGAGCTTTATAAACAAGCTCGAGCTTATAAATTTTTTAATGAGTCGAGCTCGAGCTCAGTGAGAGCAAAACAAGCTTAGCTCGATTAGAAAAATAATCAGCTCACCGCCACCAATTACCACCCAATGATTCTTCTACCTGCAATCACCCTATCCCCGCACCAGTCGCCCAGTGCCCCTTCATTCTACTATAGAAGACAACGCCCACCATCACCTTCTATTGCAGCCATAGCTATCTACCATGTTTTAAAAATATATGTATTTGTAATGCACCATAATAAATAAATAAATAAATCTCATTACATTTGATTTAAATCCAACCTAATAGATTGTGAAATGCATT